CTAAAACACAATTTTCTAGGTGCATATGCTCATAATTATATGCAAGCCACATCAATATGCCTTAAGTACACAGGAAAAAATTTAACTTTATCGGCAGTTTACTGCCCTCCTCGCTTCAACATTACTGAGCCCCAATTTACGGATTACTTTTTAACTCTAGGTGAAAGATTTCTTGCGGCGGGAGACTACAACGCCAAGCACACGTATTGGGGGTCACGACTCTGTAATCCAAAAGGAAAACAGCTCTACAATTCAATTGTAAATAGAAAAAATGCACTAGACGTAATCTCTCCTGGGCAGCCAACATATTGGCCTGCTGATAACAATAAAATACCAGACCTAATAGACTTCGCGGTATCCAAAGGCATAAGCAAAAATTTTATCTCAACATACACTAGCTGCGATTTGTCTTCTGACCATTCTCCAGTTACATTTTGCTTACTTGATGGTCCTCAGTTATATGACTGTTCCTATAGCCTTACAAGTCCTAGAACAAACTGGCTTAAATATAAAAAGTATATTAACTCACACATACACACAAACTACAAGATAAAGTGTAAGTCTCATATTGAGGACGCAACCTCGGTTTTAAACTCAATTCTGATTTCAGCAGCAGAAAACTCCACCCCTAAAGGCAATAAAATTTACAGATTCAATAGAGTTCTTACAAATAGTGACATAGAGAATTTAGTTTTACAAAAACGTAGATTAAGGCCTGAATGGCAAAAATCTAGGTCCCCTTTAGCGCAAAACTTATTTAAGGAAGCCCAAAGGAGACTTAGATCTGCATTAAGCAAGGAAGTCAAAGTCAGACAATATAATTATATTCAAAACCTATGTCCAAATGGCAAAAATCATTCATCTTTGTGGAATGCTAGCAAAGGTATAAATCCTCCCATAGACTCCGATTCTCCAATAAGAAACTCTCTTGGAAACTGGGCGCGAAGTGATGAAGAAAAATCTAACGTTTTTGCTGATTACCTAAAAGAGGTGTTCCAACCAAATCCTGCAACAGGACAATATGATTTTCCCACTCAAGATCCACCAGCACCATCTATTGACATGAATATCACGGCCAATGAACTTGTCCAAATAATCACAAATAAGTTAGATTACAAAAAAACACCGGGATATGATAATATCTCACCCATCATGATAAAAAACTTACCCCTTTTGGCCATAAATTTTATCACAAGACTTTTTAATTAGTGGAAAACATCTATGATTATTATGATTCATAAATCAGGTAAAGACCCCACGCTTGCCTCTTCATACAGGCCAATAAGCTTACTGCCATGCCTTTCTAAACTCTTTGAAAGAGCACTGCTTTTAAAGCTAAAACCGTTCCTTGACGTTTAAAACTTAATACCGTCCCACCAGTTTGGTTTTACGGAAAAACATGGAACTATTGAGCAAGTGAATCGTATAACGAATGAAATAAGACACGCATTTGAGCTCAGAGAATATTGTTCCGCGGTATTCCTCGATGTTAAACAAGCATTTGATAAAGTATGGCATAATGGACTCATATATAAGATACGCTGTTCATTACCTGCAAATGTCCACTCAGTTTTAGAATCGTATCTGCATAATAGAAGCTTTAAAGTGAAATGCAAATCTTATACTTCTAATAATTTCCCAATAGAAGCTGGCGTTCCACAAGGAAGTGTTCTTGGCCCTATATTGTATGTACTATACACATCTGATATCCCGATAAGTAGTTCAGTTATCACCACAACGTTTGCCGATGATACGGCAATTTTATGCCGAAACAGAAACGCTGTGCTAGCTTCAAACCAACTTCAATCTCACTTATATCGGGTGGAGAAATGGTTGTCAAAATGGCGAATTAAAATTAACGAAGTAAAATGTAGACACGTCATTTTTACCTTAAATCGGAGTACATCTCCAACAATTTTACTAAACAACATTCCCATACCACAAGCAGATAATATAACGTACTTAGGTATCCAACTAGACAGACGACTAACTTGACGCAAACATATTGAAGCCAAAAAAACTCAGATGAAGCTTCAAGCCTCTAAGTTGCATTGGCTCATTAATAGCAGATCTTCCCTGTGCCTAGAGTATAAAGTACTCTTGTATAACAGCATCATAAAACCAATATGGACTTATGGTATCCAGCCATTTGGCAATGCTAGTGCTTCAAATATTGAAATTATACAAAGAGCTCAGTCAAAAATACTAAGAACTATCACTGGTGCCCCATGGTATATTAGGAATGAAAGTATACACCGAGATCTACAAATTCCCCTAGTTAAAGCTGAATTTGACAATATAAGAAAAAAATACAATAAAAGGCTGACAGAGCATGTTAATCTCTTAGCAAGAAATCTCGCACCTCTATCCATTACTTCCCGCCTAAAAAGAGCTGACCGTCCAGCCGTTAATTAATATTCACCAGCTTGAAGTAAAAACCGCACCTTTCTTTTTAGTAATCTGTTAAAGTTGAACCGCTTTCTTAAGAAACCACCTAACATTCACTCCAATGAAATTTAACCCATTAATATAAGTGAGGTTCGTGTATACAAAGTATAATTAAAATAAAAATTTGTAACATTATGTAATTAGTTATAAGATTTTACAACTTATTGTTAGTCTCATTTTAAGAGAAGATGCAATAAATAAAATGTTTTAAAAAAAAAAAAAAAAAATAATATTTCTCTATTTGTTACAAATTTATTTTCTCCTAATTTCAGATTGCTTCGCGTGCGGTAGTTGCGTGCAGGCTGGGTGACTTTTTGGTAAGTAGTTTCTAATAACTATGTTAAATGTTAAAACCTCTATTTTAATTTCAGATTTTTTCGAAATTTATTTCAATTTATGTAGGTTTGAAATTTGTGCAAAATTTGCATCCTTACAAGTTTTAAAATAAAATATATAAATATGGTATATATGCCTCCTGGGGAACCGGCACCTTAACTCGGTATCGCGCCTCTATGTATACCTCAAAGGTGATGTGAAAAATACATAAAAAATTATTATATCCAATTAATTAACCCAAGATGTCAGAGTTTTTAAAATCTTCAAACCTCTACCATCTTATTTAGGGAAAAATTAAGTAAACATATGACTAATGTAAATATATTTTAAGTTATAAAATAAGTCAAACTGTTAAAATAGTACATTTAATAATTAAATTATCACTACGTAGTTGCTTAAGGCCCAAACTGCTATAGCAGTAAGTATTTTTTTTTTCTTTACTTGTTATTTAAATGACTGTGTAAAGTTAATAATAAATAAATAAACCCGAAATGCTTATTAATAATACTCACCACAAAAATTGACGACGAGCGCGCACACCCTCGCGCATCAACGACCTATTCGGTACTGACTACAAAATTCGTTTTACGAAATCATAAAATGAAATTTTGTAGGCAGAAACCGAGCCATGCTCGTTGACATGCGCGCGCACCCTCACGCATCAACTATCTATTCTGTACTGACTACAAAATTCGTTTTACGAATTAATAATAATGAAAATTTCTTAGGCAATGCTCTATTTTAAAAATGCATTCACCGCGATGGAGTGGCCGTGTAAGCAATAAAATTAGTATTAATTGCGATTGTTTAAAAATTTATTTAATTTTGAAATAATTTGCTAAAATTTCTAACGAAAACCAATATATATTAAATAAATTTTGGAATATTATACTTCTTGAAGTGAACAATGCTATATACTCAGTTATTTATTCCTGAAAATTAGATAAATAAATAATAATATCACTTTTGATATGTTTAACACTGAATTACTATTATAAAAATTAATTATTTCTATTTTTCAGTATATAATTTATTTGCATAGATGTGTGAATTTTATGCTACATGCAATAGTAAATAAGATATAGGTATATATTAATGTCGTATAATTTTAAATTTGATTATATAATAAACCCAATTTACAAATATTTTTTTTTTTCAATAAGCTATTAACATGGTAAACATTATTAACATGATATAATACTGAATTTAATTTCAAAACATATTTTTTCAATTTCAAGCTGAAACAGATATTAATTGCTTCTAATACGGCGTTTACATTGGCCGAAAATGGCTCATTTTGGTCAAAAATCGAAAATGAGTATCGAATGGCTCATTCTTGCATATAAAATTTCAAGCACAAAAATGAGCAATTTTCTCACATTCTGTATGACGTTCGAATGCATTCCACATACGTTCCAAATGCAAAGGAATCCATTGAACATACCCTAAATGAAAGCTCTTCATGGCATTTTGACAGTTTGAAAAAGCTGTTTTGACATATTTACAAAAAAAGATAAACAAATGTTTAGTAGTTTTATTTCAGTTTGAATTGTTACCATGAGAACGAATGAAATACAACGAATGTAAACACTTTCAAATGGCTCATTTTGGTCAAAAATCGAAAATGAGTATCGAATGGCTCATTCTTGCATATAAAATTTCAAGCACAAAAATGAGCAATTTTCTCACATTCTGTATGAATGACGTTCGAATGCATTCCACATACGTTCCAAATGCAAAGGAATCCATTGAACATACCCTAAATGAAAGCTCTTCATGGCATTTTGACAGTTTGAAAAAGCTGTTTTTAACATATTTACAAAAAAAGGCAAACAAATGTTTGGTGGTTGCATTTTCTTGAAATCGATGCACTGCTTTTTAGAACTTTTACTTCCCAAAAAGTAATTAATCGAAGTTAAAAATATGTTTTAAGTTTCTAATGTAAGGTTTCAAGGCATATTTAACCTTCATGCAACATTTTTTTGGCACAGGCCAAAAATCAAATCAACATGCAAGTTGAAAAATCAGCTGTTGAAATGAGAACAAATGAAATAGAACGAATGTAAACACTTTCAAATGGCTCATTCAAAATGAGCCATTTTCGGCCAATGTAAACGCCATATAACATATTATATAAAACCCTTCAGAACTATTTTCCGCACATCAAAAATATTCTCTGCTAGCTACCATCCCTGTCTAAAAAACAGGGCTAGTTTTATGGTTCGTTGTTAACATAAATGTTTGGATTAGAGACGCATAAAAATCTAAAATAAAATAACTTTGACGAACTGAGCGATAATTGTTCTCTGTAAAAATGACTCAAATAGCTGAGTTGAAAGAAGTTGTTGACAATGCAGATATAACGGTACTAGTTAAGTGTCTAGAAAGTTACAATTCATTAAAATTTTTGGCTGACATAGACGACTTAATTATTAGGAAGTTATTTAAACGGTTGTTTTCATCTTGGAATGTAACTGATGAGTTAGTTGCTTCTTCAGTATATTACATATTTGGTAAGAAATTCTTAAAATAAAGCTTATAATTATTATAATTTTCTTAATACAGGAAATTTGTTGGAGATGCATCCGAGTCATTCTGTTGAATATTTACCACTGATTTTTCACCCTAATAACATAACGTCACTTGAAAAATTTTATGAACTGAATTCTGATAAATTTTTTGAATGTTTGGTTAAAATAATTCAAAGTTTAGAATTTGTCGCAATTTCCCTTCAAGAAGCACAACTTTCAAAGTCGCAAAAACAAGTTTTTGAAACGGCAGCAAGCTTCATTATTAAGTTACATTATAAGAGCATGAGGAGTGTAACTAATAATACGTGCTGTTTTGTTTACAGTTCCCTAAAATTCTTACAAAATGTAGTGACTCTTTGCTCTTCGTATGCCAAGATATTCACTGCAGACTTACTTGGTATTTATCAAGCTTGTATGCAATGCGGAGTTACAGGTATGAACGTTTGGTTAATCCCGAAAAAAATATATCCATCTCAACGCAGTTTATACAATAGTCATGACTCTAAACATTATGCTAAAGAGTGCATAACACGAAATGGAAGAAAACTATCTAAAACAAAAAAAATGCGCAATATTACAAAAGTAGTACGACATCAAGAAAGTATTCAAGAACAAAATTTGATTTCTGACGTAAATTACTTAAACTGTATGGCAAGCGATGGAGACTCATCTGACGCTGAATATGGCAGAAAACCCAACTCAGAAATGCATTCGGTAATAGTCAAAATTCGAGTCGCATCAATGAATTTACTTGCTGCTGTTTGTAGAAATTTGGAGCGCCATGTAGTTTATGGATATTATTACAGTGAATATTCATGTTTTACATAGTATTTATTTTGCATATGCTAATATTTTATTTTTACAGTGATATTTCCAAATGATTCGAAAGATGTTAATTATAATTTAATTTATCTAGCTAAAAGCGATCCAAGTACGCATTGCCGAGCAGCGGCTCTGCAAGTTGGTGCACAGATACTTGCAGGTTCAAAAATCTATTTTAATCAAGCGGAATGTTCTGTAAGACGAAATTGCATAAACTTTTTTCCGTTTTCTCAAAGCTTGGGAAGTATGATAAATGTTATTTACAATACATTATTTGCAATATTAAGTACAGAGGCATCAACATTTGTTCTAACACAAGCACTTAAGTGCCTCTCAGTATTAGTACAGGCCACACCCTTTCATAAACTAGAAACTGGAATAGCGACAGGAATTGTAAGTCATACTCGTAAACTTATCTGTCATCGTGATTGCAATATACAAGTTGCTGGACTAATGGTGATGGAGGTTTTAGTCTCAACATCTATATTAACAACAGAAATAGTGGATATAATCGGATTACCACATACAGATTCGGTACCATTTATTTCAAATAATAACCAGCAAGTTAATATGATGAGTAATGAACTAAACGAAGAAGGGTACGAGGAATTTATAGAAACAGATGAGTCGCAAAATGTCTATAATAAATACAACAATAATATAAACACTTCAGAATCGTCATGGTTGTTGCAACATATTATAAAAAACATGGACACTGACAGACAGCAGTCAAATGTTCCTGCATCCATATATGTCAAAAGTATTAACGTGTTATCAGCATTATCCTGTCATTTCGCTTTATTAAATACTCATCTTCCAACAATTGTAAAGGTTTTTCAATATGCTTTAGAGGATCCACTATTAGATGTACAATTAAATGCAGCACGATGCCTTGAAAAATTTTCTTATGAGATGAGTCGATATATATCCAATACATCTGATTTTAATTGTTTCAAACTAACACAGACTTTTTGGGAAATTTTATTACCTAAATTAGTTGTTTTAATCAGTAACTCAGCACAGCAAAATTCAGCTTTTAAAAATTATTTATGTGGCAGTTTAGCTAATATTGGAATTGTCATTTATGAACGTTTACCGTATATATCAAAAATAAGTTTATTTAGTACTTTATCTGGAATAAGTAACAATAGCGCAGAAAATACAATAGTGAGAGCAGCAGCAATCCGAGCTTTGGCGGTACATGTTGCATTTCCATCAATACGGAAAAATCTTGTGTTTGTAGAAAACACTGCCGACATGACTTTGCAATTTATCAATGATGAAAACTTATCAGTACGCGTCAGAGCATTCTGGGCAATGGCTAACGTTAGCGATGCTTTAGTTGCTAATTTTTACGTAAAAGAGCGGGTGTCATTTGATATATTGACTCGTTTAATTGAAGCGTCCAAAAATGCCTGTTACGACAACGATAAAGTAAGATGTAATGCTGTTAGGGCACTTGGAAATTTTCTTAGTATTTTAACAGAAGATAACTTTGACAACTATGTTGGTAGAAAAATGTTCAATGAATCGATTAAAAAACTCGCACATTGCATAACAAGTTCAAGTAATGCAAAAGTGAAATGGAATGCATATTATGCTGTTGGCAATATTTTTCGAAATAATACAATATTTGTTGTCACAGAAATATATTCAGATTTAGAATGGCAAGATTCCCTTTATACTACTTTATGTCATACAATTGTTCATCACTCCAACTTTAAAGTACGAATAAGTGCTGCAATTGCTATAAAGTATATAAAAATGCGTTCATATTTTCAAAACTACTTGAATTTAATCTGGTCTTCGTTACTTGCAGCTGTTGAAAATTCTCAAGATTCAGTAAATTTAGAAGAACATGAACACGTTGACAACTTACAAGAACAGTTATGTTTAGCAATTTCTCATATTATTGGAATATCACGCCCGGAAGACTTTCCAATGTTACAGAAATGTTTGGCAGAAAAGGCTGAAATCGTATCATATGTTTGGTTACTTGTATCAAATCGAATGATACCTGAAAAGTCAGTACCATTAATTTCATGCTCTATAGTTTTATACGAACGGATTAAAAATTTGAATCAATCAACATCAGATCATTTAAATGCGATGGTTTATGTTGCGAAAACGTTGAGTTTACAAGAAATATTTCCCTGCTTTAATGACGTGAACACCAACTTTCGGTTTGAACATCTCCCACACCAAACAAGTGTGATTAAAAACTAATATATCGTTATTTTGATCGAGAAATAAGTGTTTATGTCAAATATTTTGTATTTTGTGGATAATTCAATTGCAACTTCAATTTCAAAGCAAATAAATTTATGTACATTCTTTGTATTATAATATTATATGCAGTTATTTTTTTTAAATTTATATTTTGTAATATATAAGCGTATTCTTAAAATTATTACTATTTATAAAAATTATATATAACAGAGTTTAATAATTTGGTTTCCAGCTTTGTTATTTCCGTCTATAGATGGGTTAAGGATATTGCGTTTTATAAATATATATTTGACTTTATACATTGCAATACCATTCCTACAAAATATATTTAAGTTAACTTTCTTAAAATTAGTTGACTGGGAATAAATTGATTATTATAGCATAATAGTGAAATCCTGCAGCAAGGACCACAAATAAATGCCAAATAGCATGTGCCATAGGTATTATTCCATCGCATTTGAAAAAACATATTCCTAATATGTAAAAAAAACCACCAAGTTTTAACTCTGTAAGACCATTAAATTCATTCCCAGTTAGTAACACCGCCAATGCAGGACCCAAGCCCATTAATACGTAGCAACAAGTCTCTAAACATTTATATCGTTCATGAAATATCTAAAAAGAAAAAAAACTATATAAAATATATTGATTTCAAACATATATGTTTTTACCTGTTGATAAGTAATTCCAATTGCAGCAAGCAGCCAAATTAGCCATTCCATACAAACCAAAGCAGAATGAACAATATTTCCCAACTGTAACCATGGGAAATACGATCCAGCAATAAAAATGTAAATCATGGCGCGGTCACAGCGATGCAGAATATTTTTTAAACCGCTGTTAAACAAAAATACATTTATACAAAGAAATATAATTTCATTATATTCAATACTTTTTTTGTTGGGAATAACAGGAGCAATGAAAAAATGTAGATATTGTAAACAGCATTGAAAGTGCTCCCCCATATACCCATGAAACTAAATATTGGTTTGGCGTCTTTGACCTTTCGAAAAGTTTCAGTGCGGCAATAATAGAAGGTACTATACAAAAACCATGTGTTAGAACATTCGCCAATTGCTCCACCTACGGAATATTAAAGAAGTTATATGACATAAGTATAAAAATATATCATTTGTTTTTACCTCCGTGGGTTTATAGGCATAACCTGTCTTTGGTTTCTCGTTTTTCCAATTGACACTTTTTATATGGGCTTTAAACGATGAATTTGATTTAATCCATGTTCTCCAAAAACTTGTGAGTATATTATTTAAAAATGAATATTTATTTTGAACCTCTTTTGCGATATTGCTCATTATTATTTTAAAAAGACGAACTTTCAAATATTTAAGCAACTATAGCAAATTTTAATAGGAAGGAATCATTTACAAATTAGTTAACGTACTTGTAGTTAAAAATATAACTTACAGTTGATAAATATATTTATTGTCAGGGTGGTAATTTTTAGTTAATATGCCGTTAAGATGTTAGATATATTTTCACTTTTGTGTGCATCTCATTTTATACATGCGCAGTTTACATAAATATTCTTCAAAGTTATGCACATTTCCAACATTATATTAAAAATTGATATATACTCTGTTCAATTATCTGAAATTTTAATCACAGTAAAGTCTATTTTGTAAGATGGTTGATTTATGTTTACATAATTCGTTTATAAACTTCAAAAAATGTTTGCTACTGAAACGGTTTAGTACATGAAACATTTATTCTTTATTCGGTGTCAACACTAGCTAGACTTTGGACTTTTTGTTCCAATGAAAAAACTATTATTTTCGATTGTTGTATATCAGCTGTTGAACTTGGCGATAATGTCTGTCACTTTGTTGTGATTTCAATTAAAATATATAAAACCCTTTTTAATAAACGATTCTGTAATGTCAGCATGTCAGAGATACGTATTCTTTTCCATAGTAAAGAAAATTATTTTCTATACAAACATTTATTTTGAATTAAACGCTGACTATACAGCTCTTTCGAATATTGGCAAATATTAATCATCATTGTTATCTAGTTTAATGATCCATATTTTACAATGGACTTAATTTTTTCTTTCAGAGTAGCAAAAACAAGCTTTTAAAATCTTTAGAGTTAGGTTCTACGCACAAAAATTTAAAAATCTGTCTATTGTGAATATTCACTGGATATACGTTGCAAAATTCTGTTAAATAGCATTATAAGCTATTATGTTGGTTCACAGTTTTGTAAAGCAGATTCAATAACTGGGAAATTGTATTGATTCATCATCATCATAAGCGTTACAGCTCGGGGTGAGCTTTAGCTGCATCAACCAGCTTTCTCCATTCTGCTTTGAATGTTATTTAGACCACCAGCATTGGGTACCCATTTTTCTGATGTTGTCTGTTACGTTGTCAACCATCTTATACGTGGTCTACCTCTTCTGCGGTCATTATACGGTGTGAAATGAAGGTTTCGCTTTTGTGGTCTATCGTCCGGCATTCTCATGACGTGTCCTAACCATCTTAAGCTCTGCAACTTTGCGAATTTTACAGCATCTTCACCGTTACAAACAACTACAAGTAGCTCAGTGTTCGTACGTCAACGAAATTCTTGTATAGGACCATAAAATTAAATTCGGATGTGCATGTTTCTTCCAAAACTCATGTATATTGTTTTGTTCTCATTAATGTTTAGCCTAACTATCTTAGCTCTGAGTAGTAAGTCGACGAACTTTTCTGTCATATAGTGTGGTTAGCGTTACCACTAAAATGGAATTTTGCATTAAAATTGTATTTATTATTAGCCGTAATTTTTTTTCAGAATTCAACTGCATTCAGTCGCTTCGGAGTCTGGCAAAAAACATCAAATCGTTTGCTTAAAGTCTCTAATTTATCACAAAACAACAACACTTTTCTCTCCATCTAACAGACTAGTGATGAAGTGTATAAACATCTGTGGGCATGTTATGATTATAGTCACGTCACGTCAATTTCGAAAGGCGATCTATTGCGAAATTTAAACAAATATTGCAGTCATCTGTCAAAAAGTTGTAAATATGAAATTCTCACAAAATATAAAAATGTTCACAAATTTAAAAATTGTGGATATGAAAATATTTAAATTATATAATTATGTTGAGGCTAATTGAGTCAGTGCACCTGCGCACTTTTACTCTCTATTAACTGCGAGGTTTCTTCAAAACCCCTCTTTGCACCTTGACTAGATTATTGTTTATCACTTCATCAGACTAAGCAATAATTGACTTCAGATCTGCATACCTCCCCGAGGAGTCGGTAACCATTCTGAGATTTGATAACGCGGTGTTGATAAGTCTGTCAGATTTCGCAAATAATTTCAGGGCTCTATTCTTTATGTATTTTTTGATCGGATCAATCTTGATGTCCTTGAGGATGTCATTCTAAATTATACATAAAAATTACAATCACCGTTCACAATTATTAGTGTGAATTTGGCAACAGAACAAATTTAAATCAAAAAATTAGAAAATACAATTTTAGTTGTATTGAAGAATTTAATTTAGGTATAAGAATTACACCAAGCACTCACCAACTAAGTACCTGACAGCAGGTCAAAATGATATCGTCAGTTCAGTAATGATCGAGATGAGAACTTCACGCAACCCAAGAACAACTCTTCGAGAATTGATTTTTTACAAAATCGATCCGAGAAAAAATCTCGCATTGACTAAGTCACCATCATCAAAAACAATCCTTCGAGAATGACCCAAAAAGTTAGCAAAGAAACACACGTATGGTGTTTCAGATGTTTAACTAAACATACTTTTTTTTTTTTTTTTGTTTTTGCAGTAGGTGGAAAGCATCAAAAGCCACAGTGTGAGACTTGAACCCACTAAAACCACCTCTTAGGAATGCATAGAGAATAGATTCCAAGCAAGGGACCGTAAAGTTCCAGGACTAGGAACCTCATTCCAGTTTAACGATTGGAGTGAAAACAATTACTAGTAACGCTTAACATTTACAATAGTAAATATATCTAAGCCATGAAATTTGAAGAATGAAAACGGTGAGACGGAATACTACTTAAATTGAGTTTGAGGGGCTATTTATAAGTACACACGTTGAAGGGGATTACTGTAACCACGGTTGTAAAACGGGATTACAGGGGGAGAGTGGGCAATGTCGTTCAGAAGGAGGGATAGGAACTGGGGAGGTTTATGCCTCATAGCGAGTAACAGATCAGTCGGTAGCTGATCAGATCTCAGAACGTCGGGGGGGAGGTTATGGGCCCTAGTAAAGTATCGACGAGCTTGGGACAATAGATAGTCGTCAAGCCGCTCGATATTGGCGGATTTGTAAACAAAATTTATACGGTGATGTTTGCCATTAGGCTTGCGCTTGTAATTTATACAGTCGCGGAGAATTTTTCTTTCTAACGAACGTAGGCGTTCCATTTGAGCCGAGGAGATACCTGACCAGATGGGAAAGGAGTAGGTGGAAAGAGGGTGAATAAGTTGTTTATAGCACAAGAGTTTTGCTTGTATATTTAGCTGGTTGTGGCGTCTTAACGCATTTTTAAGGCTCATATGGCGAAAGGACACATTCTTGACAATATAATCGATGTGGGGAATGAAGTTATGTTTAGGAGAGAACATAACTCCGAGGTACTTAAACTTGTCAACAAGTTTAATGGGGGTCCCATTAAGTTTAAGCTTAATGTTAGAGGGGTTATAACTGCTTGGACGATTTCGTGCATAGCCAGTGAAGGCAATGGCAGAGACTTTGAGGGGGTTTAATTTGAGCTTCCACTTATGGTAAAAGCTAGAAAGATTTCCTAAATGCTGGTTTAAGGAGTTAGAGACCCTAGGAGTATAAGACGATTTGGAATATATTAGGCAGTCATCAGCAAAGCAGAGCTGCTTGACATTTGGGGGAGGGATAGGAATGTCTGAAGTGTAGATGTTAAAGAGTATGGGACCAAGTACAGAACCCTGAGGGACACTAGCTGCTACAGGGAATTCCCTAGAAAGGCTAGAACCAACACGAACCATAAATTTTCTTCCTGACACAAATTGGTAGACAATGCTACAAAGGAGCGGGGGGAAATTTAATTGGTGGAGCTTGTAGACAAGGCCCTCAATCCAAACAGTATCAAAAGCTTTCTCAATATCTAGGCTCACAGCCACGGTGGGTTGAGAGTTAAAGAGACCTACACAGATATCACTTTGGAAAATACTAAGCGCGTCTGATTCATAAAGTTTACTTAGTGAGCTAAGTCAGGAAATGGGACGGTAGCTTGAGGGGAGAGTATGAGGCTTACCGCTTTTATGGACAGGTATGACAATGGCTCTCTTCCAAGGCCTGGGAAAGTGACCAATGTTGTAAGAGTGGTTAAAGATAATCGCACATGTGCAAAAGAAGAGAGGAGACAGATTTCGCATAGCGTGGTTGGAGATTCCATCCAGTCCAGAAGATTTTTTAGGTCTTTTGGACTTAAGGATGGTGAAGAGACCTGATGGAGTAATGAACCCCTTTGGGTCAAGAGTATTAGCACTGCTGGGTAGCTGGTGCTGAAGTTAGTAATGCTTTGTCCGAAGTTTTCGTAATGGTCTCGGACAAAATTGCAGACCGTTGCATTGAAATTTGGATTTCCATCACCGAGGGAGACCTTATGATAAAGCTCAAAGGTTTCGCCAAATATATTGGCTTTGGTTGAGTTATCAGGAAAACTTCTGTTATTGATGGTGATGTCAGGAGTGACTTTTTTAATGCCACTGATCTGCTTAACTTTTTTGAAGACATCAGAGTCGCATTTAGCAGAACGAACTAAGGCATTGAAATGATTATTTCTAGCCAACTTGATCCTTTGGGTAAGGATATTATCAAGAGTGGAAATTATAGCTCGCATGAGCTGAAACCGAGGAGAGTTAGTTTGCCTGAGGCGATATAACCTACGTCAAAGAACTTTGCGACGCTGGATTAGATCAACAGTAAGAGGATCAAGAGGAACCTGGTGGCACTTTTTAAGAAAGGTCAGTGGGACATGCTCTTCGATAGTTGCAGAAAGAATGCTCTCAAGTTGTGAAGTGATACAGTCAATTTCATTAGGTGATAGGTTCCTATTTACAGGAAGGTCAAGGGAGGAAATCATTCTGTCAAGAGTGGAATTGAAGCTGCCCCAGTAGGTGGCAGCGGAATTTAGATATGTACGAGGGGCAGATAGGAGAGCTCTACAGCCTGTGAGAGGTTAAACAACAGCCTGATGGTCAGCAACGCCATCAACGACTGAAGTATTTCCAATCATGTCGGAGAGACAGTTGTCAGTGAAGAAGAAGTCGAGTGTCGCATTGAAGCGTGTTGGCTCGTTGGGGGCAACAAGATTAATATCGAGGTTAATACAATTGCTTATATACCAGTTGTATAATCTGGTACCATTAATGCAGTTTTAAGCGTTATTCCAAAAGTAGTGTTTACTATTGAAGTCACCTCCAATAACAAATAGATTTGAAGAAAGGTTTATTAATTTAGTGAGGTCATTGGGGTCAATAGATTGAGATATAGAGGGCGTGTAATACACGCAGAATAAATCAAGATTAAAGTTATTTTCGAGGAGAAGAGTGATACCGCAAGCTTCAAATGAGGAGAGTTGAGGAATACAGAGTTCGGAAAAAGCGTATGTTGCCTTAAGAAGGATTGCAACCCCTCCACCAGGACCAACCCTATCGAAACGGACGACATTGTAACCAGAGAAATTAAGAGTGAAACCAGGATTGACTCTGGT